AAATTCTAGGGAAAACAAAACAGTTGGTTCAACTACGAGTTAGGTTTTGACTTATTTCTAGCTTACAGATTTGTTTGTCTAACCTCAAGAACACAGCTTAATAGCCGCGACAGTTGGTATGTGCTTTCAAGTTAAGGAAAACCTCGATTCAGTGGACAGCACAATAAGTCAAAGTTCACAACAACCGTCATAAAGGACAATCTTACTGTGGCGTATATCATGCGCTAGCCCGGGCATGTTTGGAAACGTAATTAGGACTACGTAGAGAACGCGTTTCGGGATGGGAGTCACATGGTTAACTTGGATCTTATAAATGACCAAATTATTTAGCGTCTCATCGATGCAAACGTAGTCAGCTGTTGGGACTCAGATCGCCTTCCTTCCAACTTAGTGCTGAATACTAAACAATAAAAAAGATCGTCTTTACTGCCATGGTGTGCAACATAATTGTCGGCAGTGTACGTGCATACTAAACACACGAGCTGATTAACCAGAGCACCTTTATGGATTTTTAAGTGGTCTTCAGACCACAGGAGGAACTGCACAGAGGTTTGGTGTCCATATGCCAAACTTTTTGAGGATCTTAATCCAGTTAGCATATCTGCATAGTAGCCTTTCTAGTTTCAGTGAGGTTTGGTAAACGATGACCTCTAAAACGGTCCTAAGCATCTAGTGTTTGATCAGTCTTAATGCTGGCACTCAAACACGGCGGTCATCGAGCACTTCAGTTTAACGGTTGGTTGAAAAACAAATGATCTCCGAAGTTGTCTCAGTAACTTTATAATTTCGAAACGTCATCCAATTTAAGTTGCTTACGTACAAACAAGGGTAAGGGTCATGTTGGGACAGGACAGTAGATTTAAAAGGTTTATGACTTATCTACCGCTGAATTTTATGTACTCATCACAAATAATGAGTGCGTACGAATTTTCGGAAAAGCCTCCTTCGGGAGCAAATGAGTAGGGGCAACAAAGTAACAGTCACAAATCAAGTATGGCAGTCAAAATTGGTGGAAGATGTCTTATTGTCGAATAACACGTTTGCTTGTTCAAATATGGCATTTCAGGTTCATCGAGCCTGTGCTACTGAAGTGGTTAAGTATGAGCGCCTCTCACATCAGATGTTCGGGATCTAAATCACGTCGTGGCCAATGAGATGAACAACCGATGAGGCTTGACAACAGTGCAACTCAAATCTCTCCCTACTCCTATTTGGAATATTTGCTCCGGATCAAGATGTGGACCGTTTAAATTTTAGGAACGCGAGCAAATAAGACCCTCATAACTTTCCCACCGTAGTTGTTACCTTCCTCTCCTGTCAAGTAAACTGAGGGCATGATAGCAAAATTGCAACCGAATACTCCGTGGATACATATAAGCCCACTTTCCCATAAATCAAATAAGGCAAAACCGTCTACTTTTGGTCAGAACGAGTCGGTTTGATGGACAGAGTAAGACAAATTTTTATGGGTAAAAAGCTTTACAATAATATCTGAACACGGGGTAGAATATTACGGAGGATGAAAGTTGGGTCAGATTAGAGTAATTACCCTGTAGCTGATTGTCTATGGATTAGTGGTGCTTTTGATTATTGATTTTGAGAAATTGTGATTCTTTTGTTTAGCAGTGAAGTACTGTTTTGTCCATCAAGCAAAACGTATATGTGCCCTTCAACCTTAAGAGATACCAGTTTGTATCCGACTGAGTAGAACATCTAGATCGAATTCAGTCGATTACATGGCGAGGAATTCTAAACGTAAAAGAGCGGTAAGGCACCCAACGGGGATATGTTTTCATGGAGAGCACGTGGCCGAGTTCCGAAAACTTTTGAAGAGGATGGACTTTCCAGCAGGATGATTAACTGGGTGGGGCAAAGGTTGGTTGAATCACTAAATCTAAGAGTAATCATCCGATCCTTGCAGCCGCTAGCATGATAAGCGTTATAATTGTCGCTGGAATGGAGGATTATTTAGGACGAATGGCCTGAGTATCCGTCAGTGGTTAAAGCTGCTAGGTGGTCAACACAGGTAACATCCGGATGTCATAACGTATCCGGTGTGGTGGCCAAACTGGTCCAGCTTCATATACAGTCATAAAAGTTGCAAGAAGAAAGATGGCATCGGACTGGAGTAGCGCTTCTGCTACTGTGCACTTGAACACATGGGTTTCGACTGACATGTTGTCATCTCTGCTCTCGTATACGGACATATGTGCGCCTTCGTGTGTAGTAGTAAGTTGGAAGTTGACAAACGGGTGGGCGTTTTTGTCAGTGTAGTGATCGCTGTGCCCACAAGCTAGATTTCGCCTTGTTTGAGCAATTGTGGACTCAAGCTAATTCATGATCAGTGCCTTGATTGGTACCCACTACTCAACTACGGGTTCTACGTTATCGATGCAGTTCTAAAGTTGCGTACCGTGGATCTTGATAGTATTATCAAGTTTTTTGTTAAGTAGTGTGAGGTACAAAAACTCTGCTGTGTTCATGCATTTCGGAACAATATTCGTACAAAGTTGTTGGCCATAGAAACTCAGATGTGTGAAAATGCATACCGGGGAGGTTTGACCACTGGTGCCTTATCAAGAAATAGAGCACAAATTAGTTCTCTCAATACTACAACCCGTTCACGTGCCAAATGTTTCGTTATTCTAATTTTGGGGGCCTCGATGGAAATAGATTTACTACAGTTATTTTCTAACTTTTAGGCATTTATGTTTTATGCTCGGCAAGGAAGGTCGGACAGATTTGACAAACTGTTTTCCGCCGCATCTTCTCCAAGCTCTTCTCTTACAGTTCAACGGGAGCTAGTTGCATGAAACAATAAACGAGTACTAGTTTGACAATGCAGTAAATGTCCTGCAATGTCGTCGAAATTTTGGAAAGCGGCATAAACTAACTGCAGATTCCATCGTGTTGCAGGTACTCCTAATTAGGCTTTAAACCTATCTCAGATTCCTTGGATTTATTTTGGTTCCACCAACATGAACGATATGATTTACAAAGACCTGTCCCACCGGATCGCAAAGTGGAGTGCTTGTCAACCGTGGTTCCGTTTGCTGTATCAGACCTTGTCATTACAAACTGGGCTTCCCCAAGTTACGGGACTAATTAATGCCACTCAGCTTGGGATTTATAATAAGCGGGTAAGCCAAAGAACGAAAACCCTGACCCCCATGGGAATTCACAAGGATCATATGATGATGAAATGAAGTTTCACTCGGGCTCTGAAAAATGGGAGAACAGATGCTATTTTTGTTTCATCCCAAGAGGTTTCGGAAAACCAAATAATTGGGAGGTTTATTATTATCCTGATTTCGTCAGATAGGTGGACGGCTATTGAACGTGGTTTTCCTAGAAAGGACTATGTGCACAGAGATGCGTGCCATAGATAATTGCAAACTCGCTGGCTTGTAATTTATTCAATGGTGGACGAAACCTTAAACAGTCAGCCAGTCAGATTCACGCAACATCCAAGAAAAGGTCTTTTGACTGCGCACTTATTTGCGAATAATAACTAGTGCTGCGTCACAGGATATGGGCCAGTTGGGATAGACTGACCACTTATCGGTCGACAATAGTCCGTCGGAACCATACAGAACAAAAAGCTAATGCACTGAGTGAGCAAGACTTCTCGGTGGACGCTTTGCCTCACGATGGAACCAGATAACGTTGTAAATCAGACAACGCTAACGTAAAATGGCGGTGGACGCATTGGTTGGTTTACCTACAACTTTACCCGGACCCAGGGGGTTTTGCTGACAGTTCATCAGCAAGTTTGAAGGTGTCGTGATGATTAAAATCTGAGCAGTTGAGCTCATTTTCAAAGAGCACTTTTCAGGAGTTCCTGTTTTGTTAGAATGCTTGCTTACAAAGGCCACGTGACTGGAGAAATTGCTGTTCAGGCGCGATATCGCTTACACAGTGATCCATAGCAGGCCAACTGAATGCACCAGTCATGCCTCGGTCAACACTGTGTGTTTTGTACCATGACTCCGTCGAATGCCGCCATTTACAAAATCGACTGAACAGACGTCTGAGGTTTTGAACGACCACGGGGTCCCAGTTTCCCTATCCGCCAGGATCGTGTGCGTTTAGCCAAGTTAAAATAAGGAGCTTCTGCAAGTCAGCACAACCCAAACTAGCAGTGCTCACAAAACATCATAATGCGTTATTATCTGGAAGGGTTATATGTGGGAAATTGTCCGAATCAGCACTGATATTAGTCAGAGTAAAAAGGTTCAATTCGGATCCCCACAACTTTCATGCACACAGAAGTTTATGGCTCATTGCCAGTTGTTATTTATGGCTTCTAAGTGGAGAGTTCTGTCGTTTACCATGGCGGGGATTCTGTTGTTTGTGGAAGTGGCATTTGCTGTTTGAAGAGTTTGACTGGGAACGTCACATTACACCACAGATTTTACTGTTTTTTTTCTACGATAAATACCTGTAACTAGGACCACTTAAACTGTTCTTTATTTGCAGCACTTGGATAAAAACTGAATTCTTACACAAAAATTTAGGAGTGATAGAGCTTTTGGCCTCCTTCGAGGGAGAAACTCCACTTGCACCGCCACTTAAGGAGTTATTGTACACAGTGATCGATTTCGCCTTTAATCCTTAGGAGTGCAACATACTTATTTGTAATGTTTATTCAGTATTTTGTTCATAGTCACACCACTCTCGTTTGAACGGTCGTCCTGATTTTCTGTCGTAATTATTCCAGTGAGTCAACACCAAACGGAAGCACTGGACTCGAGTTTCGCTCTTATAAGAGCTCACCAGTAGTGCCTTTTCTATATTCCACGTAATCAACGGCTTTATTGGGAGCGGCAGTTGGTACTGCAACCATCATTACTGATTCTTTATCGTTAGATAGCTATAAATCATTAGGTTCACTTCAAACATAATAGCAGTAGTAATTTTTTTCACTTGCGCGTCCTTTGTAAATTGCATTTGTATTTTATGGTTTCGTTTAACTTCCACTCTCTTATTTCTTCCCTTAGTTACACACTTCAGTGCGTTCTACCGATCAACTATTTTGTGGAGAAAGTTTACGTGTTCCTCTGGTTTTGGTTCGTGATTCTCACCTGCATCACCTTACTGAGCACTATTCATTGGGCTTTCAATACTCTCCTACCAGTTCGACGAATTGCCTACATCAAACAATACATTCGTGCTATTCGACAACTTTCCAACACTGAGGAGCGAGACTGCACTAGATTTGTTAACAACAACTTGGGACCAGACGGTGTACTCATTCTACAAGTAGTTTCACGTGTGTCCAGCGATCTGATTGCCCTAGATGTGACAGCCACGTTATGGAGCAATTATCGACATGCAAAAATTACAGGGACGGAAGAGGATATCAATCGATTTTTAGAGACAGTGAACAGGAATTCCACGACCGCTGTATAGCTAAAAATCGGTTGGATCCCCTGCCAGCCCCATTGTTCATCCCATGTGGATCCGACCGAAATGTCTAACTTTTTATATCCGATGTCTTCAGTTGTACAAAAATACTTTTTACTTGGTTTGATGGACGCCATTTGTACCAGGACATCAGTGTTCTCATTTGCTGAACTTCAGAGAGACAACGAGACAGCAGTCCAGAAGATGAAGAGCACAGACTGCCTTATATGGATTGTTGCTCACAAATAATTTGATTTACGCCTCTTGACTGTCCGCAGGGGGTGATGGTTTTGTGCGTGAATTTGCACAAATCACACACACCGGACGCAATACAATCTCCACCCGCTATTCTCCCTTTCCCAACTTCCGTCGTCAACGTAACGCCCGCACCTCCTCAGGAGTGTGACCACACCTTGTTTTGCTCATGTACTAGCAGTGTATACTTGAAAGTGACCTAATTAGTGATGTTCCTCTTCCTTCCAACCCAGCTTTCCAAATTTTTACCCATTCTTTTATTTCTGCCAGAGGTTAACAAAGTAAATAGCCGTGTGTTCGAAATATGAAGCTGATACATTTGCAGGACACTGGGTCGACGTTTCGCAAACAATGTGTGAATGGGGGAATCAAAAGTACTTTACGGCCTAGAAGAAAGACTCATAAGTTACGTTGGTTAACATTTCGAAATTGTCATTAGTGAAGATAGCCACTTGATCTGATGTTATATTCAGGGTTGGTGCAAATTCGCAATCTGTGTTCACCTCAACAAACCCTTAGCTACAGGGCTTCAAAATGGACGGGAATCGAGGTCATTTTTCACTGTAGTCTTTCAGATGAGTCTGAGGCTTGCTAAGTAAATCGAGTGTTTAGAGCGCTTTTGAACTGATAAGCGGTTAGGTGAGTTTCTCCCTTGCTCATCAAATCTGATCCTTTTGCATACATTGCATCCCTCATAACACATATTCATGCCTCAAAAAATGCTGAAATCCAGTAAATGAGGGCCTTGACGTTTGGAATGATAAATCATCATGGAATAGTGATGGTCGCAAGTGGATGTGTTAGGTCTTTCTCGAATCTACTTAAATTTTGGTGTGACGCTATCAGCCGACGTTAGACTGTTACTTATTGAATTTTCAAGTGGGGCTTCACAGTTTCCCAGTGATTAAGCTGAGGGTAGTTGACATGAATGTCTTCGTCACTACTTTTATTGAATGGTTGTTATGTTATCACCTACATGGAGTTGACAGAAAGGTGGTTTACATGCATGTGCATCGAAATAAATTAAGTCGAATAGATTTGGACACAGTAGTAACAAGATAGGGAGTTAATTTTCAGAATGCGCAGCAATGACGCCCAAATTACTTCCAGAATAGGCAAGTCAATGGCAGCGTTTCCAAACAGCTGACACTTGTGACAACAAAGTGGCATCAGGCTGACTGTCAGAAGTGGACTGCAAAATGTGCGGTTCGTTCTGTCCTAAGTTAAATGGTAGGGACGTGACCGCAATAAAGGGAAAATCTTCAAATGCTCTTTGAGCGCAACCAGAGTTACCGAAGCACTGAGCGAGTTTGATGGAACCATCAGATCAGTAATATCGAAGAACACCAATGGTTTTCATGAAAGCGCACTCTCTCGCTCTATGAATCACCTGGTCAAACTCTACAGGTTGCGCAGCTTGGGCCAAATACTTTGTTTACCAGAAGATCGTCTGCCTCGTAGAATCCGTTTCACCCAGCCTTGCGTCGGATGAAGATGACGCAGGGCGGGCAGTCCACGGCCTGACAGCGGAGCATGAACTCCCTTACCACCTCCTGCAGTCAGTTTAAACTCGTACCTTAGCCCAGTAACTTGTACTGTGGGGAAGCAATTCAGGGTGACTCCACTTTTTTCTTCAAGCCCAAAATCCAAATATTAGGAAGCTTGTGATCTGCAATGTTCCTTGTCCGTCACATTCTCTATTTCTCTACTTGAATTGGTACTCGTATATCTCAATTGAGAAGTCTACGCCAATCGGTGAAAACTTACTGACAGTTGGCCGGACCGGTTGCTGAGTTCTGCAATCATGCTCAAGCCATACATACAAGCTATCATATCGCAGATAATTCTTGGTGTTTCCAGTCCAGTTCAAAAATATGTGCATTATAATGAACAGTCATTAGGTAATAGTACATTTGCTTGCACTCGAGACAATCAATAGGCAAGTTTATTGAAATGGACCGAGCTGTCTAAACTTCATTAATGCGCAGACAGTATCCTTAAACCAATGAATATTGGCACTGATTCGGTGAATTCAGCTACACTAGGTTCAGCTCTGCTTAACACAGGTGGCGTGCGTAGATCGTTTAGGCGTGCGTAGGTCTGGTAAACTGGAAAGAAAAATGGATTCTAAATTAAAAAATGACGATGGAGATAAAGTGAATGAAATACACAGAATACGAAAACTAATTTTTTAAGTATTTATGCTATTCTTACAAATCAGCTACATAGGTTTCTTCACTGATATTTAGAATACCATTTTCAAAGGGTTTTCTCAAAACCCAATAAACCAGACAAACTTCTGGGACTAATATTTGTCTTCCAAAAGGTTTTTTAATGGATGAAAGAAGCGTTATGACAGGATGAATTGAATTGAGCCGTGTCACCTTTCTCATAAACTATTTACGGGAAACAAGGAAGAGTAGGAGGTTATAAACGGCTGACAATATCCGCGAAATGGTTACATTCAGTCTCTCCTGATATGATGCATTTTACCGCTTTGTGAAATCTGCTGTCGAAAATGGACGAATATGGTTTTATTCTCCTTCATCTTCAGAACACAAACGTATGAAGTGGTTACTTCTCTCTTAAAAAGGTGCCCTTTTGTCTACAGAGAACAGCGCGACAAGTAATAAAAGTGTACTACGTCAAAAAACAAGTGAATAATTCAGTGAATCACATTCCTTGAATACATAGAGATGTTCTAATATACGGCAAAACATCAGCTCAGTCATTTGATTATATATGCGTTTTAGCACGCTAACATGTCACATACTTTTTACAGACTGAAACCACTGACTGGCTCACTGAACGGCCAACAACATATTTCTGCTCATCGTCTGCCCGTAGTGGTTTCTTTAAGTCACGCCACATCGGTCTGTTTGAATAGCCGATTCATAGGTTTCCCCTCATCACTTTTCACCATCATTTTTCTTCCTTTGCTGAATAAGCTGCTTTGTGCTTCAGCCATATGAACATCATACAACGCTTTATAACACGTACAACTTCCAAGTCCAGTGATTTGAGCCTAAAAGTTGCCTTGCAGGGCGGCTGAGGTATTCAGCAAAAGGCTCATTTTAAGAATATTTGAGCCTTTTTATGGGCCTTTTTCTTTAGTAAGTGCACCAAATGTCTTTTAAAATTTATAGAAATTTGTCCCAATAAAGAATCGTTTGCTTTTTGAAAAATATCTAACCGTATGAGTGACATAGCGGGGTGGAAAAGTTTCTTCGACATGTTGAGTCCCCGCGGAACCCTATCTATAGGCTAGTCTATCCGCTTTGCAAGTGTCTGGAACATTGAAACGGCTGATTCACTCAGAAAGCTTCGAATCTACCATCCATTACTATCTGCATGCGGGTGAGCTGTTTATTTGACGATGTCCAAGTGACATTCGGAGGGTACCACTACTTGGCTTCAATATTTTTCTGTGTTATGTGCGTCATCACGTATAAAGGAAAAAGCCTCGCCTTGACATGTAATTACTCAAAATGAAGACCACTCAGACGGGAATGATGGGAATGTGAATTCCACGAATATCACAGTCATCTAAAGCTATTCAAAATATTAAATGGAAATCCACAATTAACAATCACTGGTTCAATATCTTCCTGGGCCTAGCCAAAACGCACATTATTTGGATTTCACCAATACCATCTTGCAGTTAAACGCTAACTTTGACGTGTCTGGAGATTATCCTCTTCCGAAGTAGATGAGAAATATGAAAAAGGGATAATCTTAGTAACTGCACCTAATTGATGGGTCACAGAAATAACAGAAGCAGTGGTCTAGTGTCAATCCGTCTAGTGGTTCTGTGTAACTAAAAGCCATAATATATTGACAAACATTCAGGACTACTTGACGTGTCCTTTGTGTGGCAAATGCGGGTCAGAATACCTGAACAAATGACTGTTCAGTTCCGTCATTTCTGCTTGTGCTTTAAAGTGGGTGGCGGCTTTCAGGTTGGATGAGGATTACTTACAGTGAGGAGTGGTTTCTCACCAACACAATCAAAAGATATTTTGGCACAGTTCACATTTTGATAGTTTAGGTGCACACAAACCACAGTTCTGAAACCATTGTATCGATGAATACACGCTGATGGGGCCGGTTAAATTCTGCGCCAAATTCACAGAACGTCATCTGTGATATTAGTGAACCGGTTTACTGTCTTCTGGGGTCAAATAACGCTAAAGTGTTTTCTTTATTTACACTGAAGTGGAGTGAAACCTAGTATGTAAACCTTGCGCGGCCCGGTGAGATTCGTGAGGGATGCCCAACTTGGCAGTTCATTCTACAAAGCGTCTCTCCGGCAGCGCACCGATGCATAGACACGTCAGATTTTGTGGAAACCGAATTCTTGTTTGCGAAGGGGTGATGCTTGTGGTCAGTCATTGAAAGTATTCCGAGAAGCATGGGTGATATACCCTGGGGATTAAAGGTCAGATACGTAATTTGAGCTTTTGCATAAAGAAGCGATTGGGTACATGTCAATAAAACTCATTTCATCTATCAGTCACACTGAAATCAAGCTGGTTGCGATTCTCGCATTTTGTTCTTCCTCCAAGTAATGTCCAATTGTCAGTTTGCTTTCCAGTGGGTTTCACTAGCTCTTATGCACAGCTACACAGCCAACGAATTACCTCTCCTTGCGGAGCTAGTCGGATATGCATCTGTATGGTCACCTTAAGACTGCGTTTCTGCACCTCAGTGCCGTGTGCTATTTTTGTGTACATGGGTGTGCAGTAACCCCAGTCTATTTAGCTTTCGTTGAGGATATGATGATATATTCTGTCAATTTATCGAGTTTCCGCGGCTGAGTTCCCAAAGGACAAATGCAATGCCAGCCAGCGTTAAAAAACTGATGGTCGGCTGAATCTACTTGTTGCATGAACATGTTAGGTGGGGTGCAAATGCATAAACGTTAATTTAAATGCTCAGCCACAATATATGGAGCTAATCCCATCGGGATATATATATATATATATATATATATATATGGGACGAAAAACACAAGAGAGAGGGAGAT